TGACCTCGCTGACGCAACATAGTCATTATAACTATAGGATTATATTTCGAAGCTATGCATCAACCAGATAGAAAGCACTAATGTTAATGCATTAAGAATAATAATAGTATGGAATGCAGAGAACAATTCAAAACAACTGATGAATACAGTTAAAGAATGCAAAAAACGATAGTGAAGGTAATTATAAAGTAGTATGGAACTTAGATCACGTCGTTAATGAGCAAATGAAAGGTACAGCCATAAATTTTTGGAAACAGAGTATTCTAGTGAGAAAATATGGAATATATATGTTAGATTCAGAAACGTTATGCAGAAAAGTGAAGAATAGTAGAAACATAGCCAGAAAACCACAAATAATAGTACCCACAGTCTGAAAAAAAGTTATGAGTGCTTATCATGATACTCTGTTTGTAGCTCACTTAGCTGGCCAAACATGAGAAAAGATATTAAAAACTGTTGTGAATCATTTATTATATCCCAAAAAACGATAAAAACAGTCAAAATTTAAAAATTTTTAAATGCTCACTTACAGAGAATGCTGTGCTTAACTATGTCATTTCAGTTGATAGCCATAAATATTTTAGGCCCATTACCAGCATCACATGCTGGAAACAAATAGATACTAATTGTTGCTGATTACATGACTAGGTTCTCAGGAGCAATAGGTTTACCAGAGAATATTACAAAGATATTTGTAAACCACATTGTAGATAGTCATGGAATACTAAAGTACTTGCTGACAAACAGAGATTAAATTTTTTTTCAAAATTAATAAAAGAAACCTGTGAATCATTAGGGGTAATAAAAATTGAAACTACAGCTAATGGCTAGTGGCTAATGAATTAGTAGAAAAGTTTAACAGAACCCTGTTACAAATGATATCACAGTATTTTGAGAAATAAAAAACATGAGATGAGCAGTTCCTAGAAGCACACAGAAGTGCGGCAAACGAATCTATGTAAGAAAATCCTTTCTTTTTATTAAATGGCAAAGTTGTAATGTTACCATTGCAAGAAATATTAACACCTAACAGAATTAATTATGTAACTGATGAAGACTATATAGGGGTAATGATGCAGAGGATGCAAATTACATTTGAAATAGAAAATGAACATTTAACTAAAGCTGCTGAGAATAGAGAAAAAGAAGTGGACAAAAAAGCAAATGTACTACTTAAAAAAAAACACCAAAAAGTTAGAAAACTTTAGAAGGGATCATTAAGAGTTGTTAAAAAAACAAGTCTACAAAACTTTGTAATATGAAAAATTGATTGTACAAAATAAACAGCTTGTATATGTTAACTGTTCGAAGAAAATAAAAGAGAGTAAACCATATCAGCATGAACAGTTTAATAATGAAGATGATGACAGCTAATAAAACATAAAACATTTTATTTACAAGATTCAAACATTTCAGAATAACTTATTCCATCTCCAGCAAAATCTAAAAATTGTGTTACAAAGATGATTATTACTAAAAATATAATATAATAACATAATCATTAGTTTACTTAGTTATTAAGGAAAGTGGTAAATGGCCAGATGAAACAATCTTTATATATATAATGGCTGGAGACGGCTTAAATGGGTAATGAAGAAAAACTTTAATATAAGTTTAACATTACAGCAAATGTACAACGTTTCGACAAGTACCTGATGATGACAAAACCTTGTCGAAACGTTGTACATTTGC